TAGGAAACACAGAATATTGACCGGGAACAACTCATTCATTTACATCATTTAGGTTGGCTACTGAAAACCACACCTCATCTCCTAATTTATTTACCTGGCTAACTCTGCACAGGTGTGTCTGAAATGGTCATCTCTAATAAACCACATTCTCCACTTTTAAGGTCTGTAGTCTACATCCTATATCCAAAAAAACAAACAAAAAACAACTGCCCCCACTATTTCTTTTTTCCCCTGAGCTTTCCTTATCTCTGATTCTAAGCAGACTCCTGGATCAATAGTCTATTGTAGAAGAGCAGGAGAGCATTTAGTCCTTCATGTAGAGGGTGGTAGTGACCTCTTCCCATTGTTGCTTCCTGGTAAACTTCCCAGCTGTAAATTCCTGCTGTTCTTTGATCTTGATGTGAAATACAGCACAGTCAGTTTCCCTGTTCATCACTCAGACAGACTAATTCCTTCTTATATATTAGCTCCTCTATCAGCTCATCTATTGTTTCTCTTACCGGGAGCGTACTGTGAGTTCTGAAGTCTCCACTAAGGATTTTATTTCTTGATCTTCAGGCCTTTTATGTTTACAAACAGTGAACTTGTTGGTTTTTTTTTTACATGGATTATAAAAGTTTATTACAGTGAGATTCTTAAGTAACCACTAAAGGCTGTCGGTCAGTACCCCTACCGCCAATCCTTTACAAATCTTAAGTCTGTAATCTTTATTCCAAATCCGAATGAGAACAACCAACAGCATCAATACCATACAGTAATAATTCAAAAAGTGACCGATGCTAAAACATACACACTGTCCAATCAGCTTGTCTCTCACCATCTATACCTGTCCTTTGCTCCCACCTGTCTCTTGGTTGCAGGTAGCTCCGAGTGTATATACTGTCCACTTTTCCTGTGCCTGCTTTGGATTTCTGTTATATGGACTTTTGTTTCCTCCTTTTGCAATTTCGCATTTGGACCAATAAATGCTCCTTTTTGGCACTTGACACTGGGTCGTCATATAAATAAATTTTTTACTGCATTGTATTCAGTTCTGTTATTTAATGGTGTGTTTTTGCTTGTGAAAGCACATTGTGACTCCTAATCTATGAATAGCACAAGAAATACATGAATCAATTTCTGCAGGATTGTTTCCTATTACATGAACAGAGAACATCTCCCTGTAGTTGCTTCGACCACAACTCTGATTAATAATGGATTGGATTTATATAGCGCTTTTCAAGGCACCCAAAGCGCTTTACAATGCCACTATTAATTCGCTCTCACATTCACACAGGCAAGCTACAGTTGCAGCTACAGCTGCCCCCCTGGGGCAGACTGACAGAAAGCCTGTGGATCGAACCGGCGACCTTCCGGTTACAGATGTGCTTCCTAACTGCCTGAGCCATGGTTGCCCCATTAAAAGATAATGATTTTATTATTTTGGTAAGGATAGGCTAACAGTTTACCTAATTTTGGTGTTTTGTGTAAATCTAGGATAAATGTGTCCTCATCATCTCTATACAAAAATTACTCTAATCTGTACTATTAAATATATTGGGATATCTGTCTGCTCGGCTGGCCCAACTGAGCTACATTGGTTTGTGTTTGCATCCCTCTCTCTTTCTCCCTCTCTCGACACTTTGCCTGGGAGGAGCTTTCAGCAAGTCCCTGCATTGTCTGCACACCTGTTCTCAATTAGTCGGCTGAGGATTCTCTGATACTTAAAGCTGGGAAGCAGAACAGGTCTTCACTGAATCAATAGGTGAGACAGGTCAGCATCACTTCTTGTCTTAGGAGTTAGTTTCCAGTTTGAGAGTTTTGCATTAGTGATTAATCCTTTCTGTGAAATGTTTCCTCAGACCAACTGCCTTTCCTGTTTGGAGTAAAACTGTGACAGCGCGTAGGAGAGTGTGAAAGGATTTCTCCTTCCTCAATTGGCCTTTTGGAACCTGGACCCGTGGTTTCCCCCTTCACTTGTATATATTTTGCACCTTGTGACCTGTAAATAACCCACTTTATTAGATTTAATCCCATCTGCGCCTGAGTCCTCCCTAACTCGTCACAGTGTCGGGGTCTTCCTTGCCTATCAGACATTCTCTCCATACCTGAGAGTGTCCAGTCTCCAGCGTGGATCTTTCAGTCCAGCCGACAGCAGCTTCATTCCTGAGTCTCCTGGATGATTGTAGCTGAGGTCCAGCTCCCTCAGATGCGAGGGGTTGGATCTCAGAGCTGAGACCAGACAAGTACAACCTACCTCCGTGATCAGACAGCCTGACAGTCTGCAGACACACAAAACAACAATCCGTCTGTTATCCATCTCTATGGCAGCATAACTAAGGGATGGTTCAGGGTCACCTGATCCAGCTCTAACTATAAGTTTTATCAAAAAGGAAAGTTTGAAGCTGATCTTCTAAGTAGAGAGGGTGTCTGTCCCCTGAACTCAAACTGGGAGCTGCTTCCACACCCTATCTGGCATTCCAATGACAATGACAACACAGAGTTTGTACTGCTGTGACTTTACAGATGGATAAATAAATTGTTATGAAATGAAATTAATAAAATTAACTTTCAGCTTGGCATCATTCACTGGTCTTAGTAAGACGTAACTGAATCTCAATGAAATAATCTGTAAAAATGTGACCTTCCACTCGATTGCAAATGCAAACTGAACATAAACCGCTCTGGAACAGGTTATACTGTTGATTAACTGTCAGTAATCATGGTGATCATGGTGAATAACAAATGTGACTTTAGAGAAAAATCTTTACTCTAATAAAAGGAAGATACAATTCTGTATAAATGTTAGATTTTTATGAGGTTACATGATTATGATTTTTAATTGTCATCAGTGCAAAATTCTGAATTTTGACCTGAGAGTTTCCAGTTTGCACTGTGGATTCTTCAGTCCAACAGACAGAATTTTCACTCCTGAATCCTGCAGGTCAGAGTTACTCAGGTCCAGCTCTCTCAGACTGAGAACTGAGGACAGATCTTTACAGCTTCTCTCTGAAAGGTTGCAGAGGCTCAATCTAAAAATTAAAACATGACCAAGAAAAGGACATTCTTTATAAAACCTCATCATTGTGCAGTTAGGGGCTATTACATTTAGGAACAGTTGACAATATATTTTTAATTAATCTCTATTGTCAGATATCAAAAGTGGTAGAAATTTGACAGTTTACTTAAACTTAGAAATAGTGGGAAATCCTAAAAAATAACACCCTAAAAAAACTATAGTTAAACTCTATTGGCAATGTTTGTTACAGTTAATTTTGTGTAATCTATTTTGTCTAAATGTATTCATTTTTTGCTGTGTGAATTCATTTAGGAAATTGAAAAAACTCTAAACAAAACCAAATCTCACATTAGAGTTTCCAGTGTACATTGTGGACTCTTCAGTTCTGCAGACAGAAGCTTCACTCCTGAATCTTTCAGGTCATTATTACTCAGGTCTACGTGTCTCAGACTACAGGACTGGGAGCTGAGAACTGAGGAAAGAGCTTCACAGCCTCTGTTTGAGAGGTTACAGCCACTCAGTCTGAAAAAAATTGTATTGTATGAAATCACTTTATACGTTGAATTAAGGTAAGAAAAAGTAACATTTTCATGTCCAATATAATTTATGTAATATTAATAAATACTGTATATAAATAAATACATTTCAATAACAAAAATAAGCCACTTTATGTCCTCCCCCTTCATGTTTACTCTTGCTCAGAAAGATTTTAAGTGGACAGTTTCATGAAGGATGCTTCTTCAACTCTTCTCCTTTCTGGTGTAAAGTTGTAAAAACAAACTGTTAACCTGTTAACACAAATTTCTAGCTGATTACTTGAAAGGCAATCTCAAAAAAAGATGACAGCAGGACATCCATGTGTGATAAGTATTACACTCACAATCCACTTGACATGGAACAGTCTTTCAAGCAACAACTGTATAAAAAAAGAGTCTTCCCTAAAAGGTGCTATTTATGACAGCCTCTCTCTAAAACATGCATGGTACTTCTCTGCTACACTTTTTCAAAACCTGTATCCCAGCTATCCAAGGAGAAAAAGTGCAAAATCTCCCCTGATTCATATAGAGAATAATAATTTGAAAGAAAAAAATACCTCAGAGTTTCCAGTGTACAATGTGGATGTTGCAGTTCTGCAGATAGAAACTTGACTCCTGGATCCTGCAGGTCATTGTCACTCAGATCCAGCTCTCTTAGGCTAGACGATTGGGAGCTGAAAACTATGGACAGAGCTTCACAGCTTCTCTGTGAGAGGTTACAGCCACCCAGTCTGAAAAACAATTTGTACTAAGATGATCATTGTCAAATCTGCCAATGAAAAGTAATATTGTCTTGGTCCGGGGTCCTTAGAATGAGTCTTTTGTGTTTACTGTTCCTATTATTATCTTGTGTTCTAATTTATTCCGATTTTGGTATTTTGTTCAACTGTTTTTAGGGTTTTGGGTCTTAGTGTTTTGTTGTTCCTGCCTGTGTGCTTTCCCGGTGCTGCGTTCGTCTTCCTGAGTTTGATTGTCAAACAGTTTGTGATTTCCTGTTTTACTTTGAAGTTCTGTGTCTCGTCATGTCCATTAGGTTCACCTGTGTGTTCCTCCTGTGTGTCATTTCCTGATTACCTTGTTTCTGTACTTATAGTGTGCGTCTACCTCTTCTCCTCATGGGTTTGTCTGTGTAACTCTGTGTAATTTGGTAACCTCCATGTCTCTCTGCTTTCCATTCTACGCTCTTCATCCCCTGTGTCATTTCCATAGGTTTTTTTCCTTGCGTGTTATTCTGTGAGTTATGTTTCGGGGGTTTGTTTTTTATTAGCTTCTCCAGTTTAGGTTTATATTTGGTTCTGTCCTCGCCAGTCCCGTGTTTGTTGGTTATTCCCTACTGTAAATAAAAGCTCACTCATTATAGATGTTTTAAGGCTGTAAAACC